TATCAACATAAATATTGCTTGAAAGTCAACGATGAAGGGAAAACTAAATTTCGATGCAACAAATAAAGCAAAACAAGGTCATAATGCAAAATAATAGAATCAAAAGACGAATTCTTTCCAGCAGCCTTTTTTTAGGCCACGGGCTACCGCAATATCAATATAAAAATTGTTTGAAAGTCAACGATAGAGGAAAAACTAAATTTCAAGGCAAAAAATAAGGCAAAACAAGGTCATAATGCAAAGGAATCGAATCAAAAGACGAATTCTTTCCAGCAGCCTTTCTTTAGGCCACGGGCTACCGCAATATCAACATAAAAATTGTTTGAAAGTCAACAATGGAGAAAAAACTAAATTTCAATGCAAAAACTCTTGATCTTGTTCTGCCTTTGCTTTTGCTTTGAGATTTTGTTCTTTCTCTTAAGTTACTTTTAAATTTAAGTTTTATATTGATATAGAGGTAGTTGTGGCCTGAAGGAAGGCTGATCAGAAGAATTGATTATAATATTTTTTTCCTTTCTATTTTGATCTTGTTCTGCCTTTGCTTTTGCTTTGAGATTTTGTTCTTTCTCTTAAGTTACTTTTAAATTTTAATTTTATATTGATATAGAGGTAGTTGTGGCCTGAAGGAAGGCTGATCAGAAGAATTGGTTATAATAATATATTTTTCCTTTCTATTTTGACCTTGTTCTGCCTTTGCTTTTGCTTTGAGATTTTGTTCTTTCTCTTAAGTTACTTTTAAATTTAAGTTTTATATTGATATAGAGGTAGTTGTGGCCTGAAGGAAGGCTGATCAGAAGAATTGGTTATAATATTTTTTTCCTTTCTATTTTGATCTTGTTCTGCCTTTGCTTTTGTTTTGAGATTTTGTTCTTTCTCTTAAGTTACTTTTAAATTTAAGTTTTATATTGATATAGAGGTAGTTGTGGCCTGAAGGAAGGCTGATCAGAAGAATTGGTTATAATATTTTTTTCCTTTCTATTTTGATCTTGTTCTGCCTTTGCTTTTGCTTTGAGATTTTGTTCTTTCTCTTAACTTACTTATAAATTTAAGTTTTATATTGATATAGAGGTAGTTGTGGCCTGAAGGAAGGCTGATCAGAAGAATTGGTTATAATAATATATTTTTCCTTTCTATTTTGACCTTGTTCTGCCTTTGCTTTTGCTTTGAGATTTTGTTTTTTCTTTTAACTTACTATTAAATTTAAGTTTTATATTGATATAGAGGTAGTTGTGGCCTGAAGGAACGCTGATCAGAAGAATTGGTTATAATATTTTTTTTCTTTCTATTTTGATCTTGTTCTGCCTTTGATTTTGCCTTAAGCTTTTGTTTCTTTTCTCTTAAGTTACTTTTAAATTTAAGTTTTATATTGTTATAGAGGTAGTTGTGGCTTGAAGGAAGGCTGATTAGAAGAATTGGTTATAATATTTTTTTTTTTCTATTTTGATCTTGTTCTGCCTTTGCTTTTGCTTTGAGATTTTGTTCTTTCTCTTAAGTTACTTTTAAATTTAAGTCTTATATTGATATAGAGGTAGTTGTGGCCTGAAGGAAGGCTGATCAGAAGAATTGGTTATAATATTTTTTTCCTTTTTATTTTGACCTTGTTCTGCCTTTGCTTTTGCTTTGAAATTTTGTTCTTTCTCTTAAGTTACTTTTAAATTTAAGTTTTATATTGTTATAGAGGTAGTTGTGGCTTGAAGGAAGGCTGATTAGAAGAATTGGTTATAATATTTTTTTCTTTCTATTTTGATCTTGTTCTGCCTTTGTTTTTGCCTTAAGCTTTTGTTTCGTTTCTCTTAAGTTACTTTTAAATTTAAGTTTTATATTAATATAGAGGTAGTTGTGGCCTGAAGGAAGGCTGATTAGAAGAATTGGTTATAATATTTTTTTCCTTTCTATTTTGATCTTGTTCTGCCTTTGCTTTTGCCTTAAGCTTTTGTTTCTTTTCTCTTAAGTTACTTTTAAATTTAAGTTTTATATTGTTATAGAGGTAGTTGTGGCCTGAAGGAATGCTGATCAGAAGAATTGGTTATAATATTTTTTTCCTTTCTATTTTGACCTTGTTCTGCCTTTGCTTTTGCTTTGAGATTTTGTTCTTTCTCTTAAGTTACTTTTAAATTTAAGTTTTATATTGATATAGAGGTAGTTGTGGCCTGAAGGAAGGCTGATCAGAAGAATTGGTTATAATATTTTTTTCCTTACTATTTTGATCTTGTTCTGCCTTTGCTTTTGCTTTGACATTTTGTTTTTTCTTTTAACTTACTTTTAAATTTAAGTTTTATATTGATATAGAGGTAGTTGTGGCCTGAAGGAAAGCTGATCAGAAGAATTACATGTAGCCACTCTAGCTACACTTCATTACTAGACGCATAATCACAGCCTGGTTAAGAAAGGTAATGTCATGTAAAAGTTACGGGCTGAAGAAGGGTCATTGTTACTCAAAATTCAAGGGGGGAGGTAATACTGAGACTATTGTTTAAATTTTGTTTTTACAGGGGTAGGGATCAAGTTCAATTTTAAATTTTTTTTGGTAGCGAATTAAAGGTATGAGGTGGATTTACAAATATTTTAAAGTGTTTTTTTTTGCTTATGTAAACACATTTCATTGAACCTTTTGTTAAAAATGATAATATTCTCGTAAATGATGGAGATTTGTGCTCGTAAACGTCAATCAAGTCCAAATAAGTATGGTCTATTTGCGGTAGAAACTGATGATTACTTTTTAGGTCTTAGCATTAGTTTATGTTGGACTTTTTGTGGTAGTGTGACCTTTTAATGGTAGTTTGAAAGGCGTTGACCTATATTTTTGTGTATGTATATACAAGGTCAGGCTGGTGATTTTGGTCGGGAAGGCAAAGACGCATAATTTTTGTGTTTACATACTTATGTGGTTGGACCAAAAGTAGCGGGACACTTCTTAATTGAAAATTAGATAATAAATGCCCCTTACTGTTGGTTCGACTTAAATGTTCACAAATGCATGAAAGGGCTTGGGTTAATTTTTTTAACTATAATTTTAGGGGTGAGAAGAATTTTTAGATATTATGACAGTATAACATGTAAAGTCGATCTAAAAATGTAGGTTTATATTGAAGCTTTAGGATTTTATAATTTTTTTTGATAAAAGTTTCAAATGAAAACAGGTTTGCATTGAAAACTTTTATCCCTACCTTCTTTAATGGCATTTTTGACCTTCATCCTTTTTCTTTTACGACATGTCGAGATGCAAATTTTAGTCATAAAATTTGTACTTTAACCTAATTTCTTTATCTTTCAATTCTGTAGCCTCAAGGTTTGTTTTTCTGGGCCAAGTTAACTTTTTAAGGTCACTGACTTGGCTAATGTTTATATGATCATGGGCGTTTCTAAGGTTTTTAAGATCACAATTGAGAGAAACATCCACATGATCTTATGTTCTTAATCATATGTGTCATATCATCATGATACACACGCTTAGAAAGTAAAGTGTAGTCAGACAGCAATTGATTTTAGTGTGGGGAAAAAAGCAAAAAAAATTATTTGGTGGAAATAGAGGCCCAGGTAGGGGTGAGAACGTTTTCATTATTACCTCGGGCTGTCCTGACTAGAATTTCTTAAATTTGAAAAGCACCGGGCTTTTCGGGCCAGGCTTTGATTTTCAGGCCCTGCCCGACCTGAATTTAGCTCAAGGCGCCCTTGTTTCTCACCTCGAAGCCTAGGGGTTTATACGTAAAGTTTTTTAAAATTTTCATTTAGGGCATTTCTCATTTTAAATTTTTTTTATTGGTAAAGAGTTTTTTCTTGTCTGTTATCTTGATCCAAGGTGATATTGATATGAAAAAAAATTTTTTGAGAGTAGTTTACCGTTTTGACTAAAAATTGGCTTCATTGTCTTCCCCACTCATTTAAAAATCCGAAATAACCCCTTCAGTACTGCTCTTCCTTTTTCATTTAAAATTCAGTTCAACTCATGTCAAGTCGACCTTAGTTTAAACATTCTTTCTTATCCTTTTTATCTTTGTCACCTTCAAAGGAATCGGAAATCAGATGATTTGTGTCTTCTCGTACCGTTATTCTGATCTTATTGTCTAAAACACTGATCTACTTTTAATTAAAAAAGAAAAAAGACTTCGAATTTGTTGGCCAAACTCGTAAATTTTGTCGCCATTTTGAATAGATTGATCGATTTGAAAAAGTGTCTGACATCGGGATTGAGGAAGATACGATGTTAATATTGTGGGAAAGGGAAATTTGTTATCAATAAAAATGCGTGCCTTTTAATGATGTTTACCATGTCGAGGGTCTTTTCATTTGATTATATTGCGAATTTTACATTAGCTTCCATAATAAAGGGATTTTCCTATAAAGAAATGATCTAAAACAATATTTTTATAAAAAAGTTGAATATAACGGACGGATGGCAACTATAAAAACGTTTATTTTATACAAGAAATAACTGTATATAATTGACAACTATACGAAATGTGCCTTTATCAATACCAGACCAACGGTCTATCAATATTCACCGCGAAAATAACACATTGAAAAGAATAAATGAGTCAACTCTCGCGCCGATTTTGGGAGAGACATGGCTCTTTTCGCTCGTTTTTCGTTCACGAGTTTTGTTATTGTCTTCGCTTTCGCGCGTTACTACTAATCTTTCAACTATAAATATGATTCGTATCATTCTTTAAATATTTTCTAACTAATGTACAAAACCTTCTTGGTAAATTTTGATTTTTAATTATTACGTTGGTATCTTTATCTTATAATGGAGTTTTGATGGTTTTTATCAATAAGTTCATGAAGACAAAGGTTTATATTATTGAATTCATTGTCTTCAAAGCCTGAAAAAACGAAAAATCTATATTTTAATTGTTGTTTGGTCAATTTTTATCTTTTTTATCTTAACGTTTTCTTTATTTTTAGCGAAAAGTCAATATAAGCCTAGTTTTACTCGCTTTTTGACAACTTTTCATTATAAAGTAAGGTTTTTGCTTTTCAGGTTTTAAAAGCCACTCATAATGCCACCAACTCCAAATAACATGTTCAGCGAAGTAATGTCAATGGATTCATTAATGGCTGAGCCAGAAGTCGATGAAGCCACGGAACAGCTCGCTAATGGATTAAAAAATGTTGACATAAATACAGAAGCGTAAGTATTTTATATTTGTTATGATTTTAGGCTTGTGAAGGGAAGAATAATTTTTCGGGACATAAACGTTGATTTTTATGTTGAGGATGCTTATGGTAGTCCTCGAAGCATATGTTTCATGAAGTTGCTTGGTCTTTAGTGAAAAAGCTTTTGTTATAATTAACAAAGAAGTTTTTTTTGCATTATGTAGCTTATAAAGTGAGTCTGTTGTATGACAATGGGCTACACAGTGAAGTGTTCAACTTTAAAGCTAAGATAACATGATTTTTAATCGGTTATTATATATATATATTCCAGACCCAAGAAGTATAAAGACGAAGAACTCGAAAAGCATAAGAAGAACAGACGCTTCAAGCAGAGTCGTCACGCTGATAAGGTCCTCCCGCCCAAAAAAGGCACAGATATCTTCATAGAACGTGGTGAACATTACGATGAACATGTAGCCGAACAACGTGCCAACATTTGCATTCAATCACAAAATATGGCAGCTTATGAGTTTGATTACATGTCTGTTCCCTTCTCCACGACCACAACAAAGGCATTGGATCGCATGAACTTCCAAGAACCAACTCCAGTTCAACAGGTCGCGGTACCCTTTATAACCCACTTTAAAACCTCGGACTTTGTGATCAGAGCTCCAATGGGATATGGCAAAACTTTTGCTTTCTTGATTCCGATCGTGGAGGAGGTGTGGAGACAAAAACAGGCGATTGAGAACACAACAAAGAGATATACGACCAATTCTACTGATCCATATGCTGTTATTGTTGCTCCAACAAGGGAGTTGGCTACACAGTTGTTCAGGGATTGTAAAACATTTTGTGAACGTGAGTTTTGGCTAAATTGTAGTAATGTAGGAGGTTGAAAAACCACTGAAAAAGTATATGAAGAAGCTCAAACGGAAGGAAAAACCGTTTTATCACGTTTTTTGTAACTTTTTTACGTTTTCAAGTCAATATCTAACACAATATCAACCCAAAGACGTTCAAAAATAACCTTCAACACAATATAATATTACCCTTCAATTTCAGAGCACAATGGTTGTGTAAGAGTCGCTGTATCCGTGGGAAAACAACTGATGAAAGCGACCTCTGTCAGTATTTCTGAAGGTGCAGATATTCTGTTCGTTACTCACGGCCGATTGATTCATCATTTCATGAATAACCAAGACAGTGTGATCAAACTTGGCTATTCCAACCTTAAGTTCATCGTTCTGGACGAGGCCGACACATTTTGTCACGGCCGAAGAGAGTCGGATAAAGAAAATCGTCTTGAAATGCGTGCGTTCTTCAAGAATATGGTAAGTTTTTGATGTGTAATATCAGGTTTGATGGGCTTGGAGGCTTTTTTGAGCTTCTAAAGTTATTGTAAATTGATTGTGGTTAATATTATTTAATACGTTTAGCTTTTATAGATATTACTGATTTAATGTATATTGTTGTAGATTGAGGATAGAAATCGAAAAGGGTTAAGCTCATCTGAAGTTCAGTCTATTTTGATTGGATCCAATATTGACATCTACGACTATTATAAGATCAGTGATTTTGTTCGAAAAGATTACATTGGTATTCAAGTTGGAGCTAGTAGTCTGCCAAAGCTTTCCCTTGTTCATAAAGTCATCTTTGTGGTAAGGACTTTTGAAATATGGCTCTAAAACAGCAAAATATGAACGGTTATTCAATGATGTGACATAATATTGATTCTTTGAATCAATTCTAATATCCAACATCATATTACACATGCATTTTCAGGAAGACTCACTGCGCAAAATCGACATTCTGGGCGACATGTTGATCACTATGAAAGAAAAAACCCTGATATTTTCGAACGAAAAGCTGGAAACGGAACGTGTTGCATTCCGTCTCAATCGCCTGGGAGTATCGACCATAGCCCTGTCATCAAACATGACACAAGCCATGCGAGCCGCCGCCATCAAGAAATTTGACTGCGGTGATCGCCAAGTCTTGGTCGCATCAGATGTGGGCTCATTGGGATTGAACTATCCGAAGCTGGAGCTGGTCATTAACTTGAACATTCCCGAATGCAATTCTCAGTAAGTTATGAGGGGTTTTGAGGTGTTTTTGAATTTTTTAGTTTTTGGAAAAAAATTTACAGGGGGGACCAAGTTGAAAATTTTGGGAAAATGAAAAATTTTGAAAAAAAAAGATTTTAAGATGGTTCATATAGTATATAGGACGTGTGACTAAAAAATCAAAAATTGTCATTATAGCTGTAAAATTTGGCTGCAAAATTTTTGTGTTTTCAGAGTTTCCCTATACAACAGATTGGGTAGAGTTGGCCGTTTTGGAAACAATGGTAAAGTGTACCACATGTATTGTCCATACGAGGATTATAAGAAGCGTGATGTTCTTCGAAATGTAAGTTCATTGAAAATGTTTTTTGGTTTAATTTTATGTATTAATATGAGGTTTTTTGATGATTTTCGGAATTTTAAGCTGGTTTTTTTGCTTTTTTGTTATTTTTTGGCTATTTAGGCTGCTTTTTTTTGCATTTTTAGGCTGATGTTTTACCTAAAGCTCCGAAAATGAGTGGTTTTTCATATCTTCGAAATTTTTTGTTACCTAAAATTTTTTTTTCAGATTTTGATTGATCAAAACGCCCATGTACCTGAATATCTGTTGAAAACAGCTGAAAACAATAATCACCAATGATTTTAAAAGATGAAAAAATCAATCACCAATGATTTCTAAAATAAGTTTATCGTTTTGATTTATACCAAGTCGACTTCAAGATCTGAAGACAACATCATCTCAACTGGAAGTCGAAATATGTTAATCGTTTTTACTAACCAACCAATTGGCCATCGCTTCAAATCAATCGGAATGTGGTCGAAAATAGCTATCGTGATATGTGACATAAAGCGTACTACTACTTGTGGTACTTATAGTGAAGGATATTGTGTACCAGGATTGTTGGTACCATTTTGAAGGATGTTGTGTACAAGTGCTGGTGGTACTTGTACTGAAGAACATTGGCACTTTTATTGCTTTTTATGGATGCTGCTTCATGTGGAGTGTACTATGGAGAAGGAAGATTTATATGGAATGCACTATGGAGCGTGCTATTTCATTTACTATGATCTTTAGAATATATTATATAATTTGCTATGTACTATCAAACATAATTCTTCATTTGGTATCAATATCAACGCAAATTAACTTCAATCTTATATCTTAAACTGCTCTGGGATGCTGCCCTTCTTCCACAACTTATACTACGGAAGCCAGAACAAAAAATTAAGCTTTGAAGCTTGCATTTACATCAATATAGTCTTAACTATGAATTTTCTATTCATTTTTTAGCTTTTGTTTTAAAACACTATTAATATTAACTGTCATATAATGATAATGTTGCTAATTGTCTTTGTTTTGACACTTTTTGTATGCTTAGAATTTATTGGAACTTGTCAACTATTGAGTATATTAACCATCCTGACCTTAATATTGCTCTATCTTCTTAATTTTCGTTTTTCTAACGTTATCATTTGTGTCGTACATAATGTTTTATCATATTCTTCACCGTGCTGTATTAAAAAATAAAGTTTTTGTAGCGAACTGTGGTATTTTATGAACATAACGTTATGACAACACTGAATATTGAAAATGGCCAAAAAATATAAAACATGAAAGAAATTGATTGAAAAAGTACTGATAATCGCTGGTAGGCCTATAAAGATGCCAATTGAAGTGGTCTTTGTTGTGAAAATGCATTTTTCGGTTTGACAAACGGGTCTGAATAAGGTCCCATCACGAAAACTTTTATTATTTGGCATTCCGTTTTACTCAAAAATTATTATTAAAAATGTAGCCAAAAGCAATTTAATTTAGTTATAGATGTAAAAAGTAGCAGCTATCAAAAAATAATTTGAATAATGGATTCAATAAAGCTAGAAGACCTTGTGATAGACTCTTCCTCAGATGAAGATCAGCTGTAAGTTTATTTTTCGATCGAAAATGAGGTAACTTTCAGTGAACTTGATGTAACATGAAATAGATTAAAGAGTCTAGACCTTTTTTTAATCTTTTATTTTAGCTTTTACAGTTTTTAAAGTTTGTAAATTACAGGAAGCAGCTGAATACATCGCAAAATTCGAGTTTTGGAAGCCAAAGAGGTGGCAGAAGGAATAATAACAGGCGGAATAACAAGGTGTACAAGGATATAACTGGGACAAGTGCATTGTTGGAGCCTCACGAAGACTTTGAAAAACTTTATTTTGATATTGAAGTGATTGTCACATCAAACAATGAGGAGGCACGGAGTTTTAAGTAAGGTTTTTAACAAAGTTGAGTTTCAGTGTATACATGTATACCTCAAGTTTTCGAACTTTTAACTAATTGAAAGTTATGGAACGTAGATATAAAATTATTTTGTATCCTTTTTTATCTATGACAATATAAATCACTTCATTTCAGTGCGAAATCCGGCTACAATCTGAGTTCAAACACGGCACAAGCCCTTCGCTATTTGGAATTCAAGAAGCTATTGCCAGTTCAAGCGTCCGTAGCACCATACTTAAGTTATTTTTGTTACCATGACTTTATTATCAAGGCTCCAGCAGGATCAGGCAAGACATTCGCGTATATAGTACCAATTTGTGACGAAATTCAACGGATAAAGATGGCAAAACGTGACACTCGGCCTAATTCTACAGCGCCATACGCTGTTGTTGTTGCCCCGTCTAGAGAGTTAGTCAAACAACTTTATAACATGACTCAGCACTTTGTCAATGGTATGTTGTTTGATATTATTTTACTATATTTTAGAATTTTTGAGATATTTATGCGATTTGGGGGGCTTTTATATTGTCTTTGGGTTAATTGGTAGTTTAACTTTGAATAGTTTGATGTTTTTAGTTATTTTTGGATGTTTTAGGTAACAAATAATATTTATAGGTTCAAAAGATATTAAAGATAATGAATTTGTGTTTTATAATATTTGTAACTTTTGTAGTTTTGTTAGGATTTATATTACTCATGGGTCTTTTTATAAATTTGTAGAACATTATGTATTATGGCATTTAGTCGTTTGTTAGGTAACAACTGTTGCTTAAATTGTTGAAGAAGACGTAGATTTTTATCATTTTGTATAAGGTTGTTATCTGTTTATGAAAATTTCGGAAATTATGAAGTTTTTATATTACCTGTGGGTTTCTTTTGATAGCTTTTGGGAAAATTGATTTTTAACGTCTTTTTTTTTTAAATTGATTTTTAACGTCTCTTTTTTTGAAAGGTAACAAATGTTGTTTTAAAGTTGTAAAAGATTCTATAGGTAATATTTATGTTTAGAAATTTAAAAAAATTTGAAAAATTTTAGAGTTGGGATGAGTTTTATATTATTCATGGCTCTTTTTTGATAAACGATGAAGTTTTTTTTGTATTACAACTTTGTATGTTTGCTTAAGGTATGAAATGAGATTTAAGATACTAAGAAGATAAAAATGTAAAATATGTTTTAAAAATAATTTCAGGCTACGGAGGCTACGTACGATGCGCTTACGGCTTCGGAAGGCAGGATATGAAAACCTCAAAGGTGACTATAGAAGATGGTTGTGACATTATATTCTTGACTCTAGGACGTCTACAACACTACTTTATGGGTAAAGGATTTGGACTTGGCTTGGAGAATCTTCGGTATATTGTGATAGATGAGGCGGATAATTTTATGGCGTATGGGGACAGACATCTTATGGAACAAGCTGCTATTGAGGAGTTTGTCAAATTGGCAGTATGTTTTTGGTATTTTTGGGATGTTTTTGAAATTTGAAAATTTTTTTTGTTTTTTTGTGTGATTTCTTGGCGTTTTTAGACCTTTCTTTGATGAAATGTTACTGTCTTTAGCCTTATTTTGTCACTTTTTAAATGATTGTTACTTTTTTAGGTAAAACGAAGTCCAGACTCTTCTCTACTTCAAACAATTCTGGTTGGAGCCGCGGTGGACATTGAAAAAGCTTTAAAATTAAAAATTGTGCGCAACAACTGTATTGCTCTTGATGTTCGAACGAAACACGCTTCAAATGTTGTGCATGAAGTTGTCGAAGTTGTAAGTGAAGTTTTATTTTGGTTTTTGGTGTTTTGAAGAAATTCTGCAAAAATTACTTTTTTACTTTGATTTGTTACCTAAAATAAAAATGTTATAAATATTTTCAAAAACGCTATTTTTACTCTGATTTGTTACCTAAAAATTAATTTCCAAACCTTTTTAAAATTCAATGACTCTGATTACCTAAAGTTAAAAATTTTGTTAAAAATGATTTTTTAGTGTAATTTGTTACCTAAAAGTTAAATTTTTGGTTTTTTTTGAAAAAGGCAGTCTATAGTGTGATTTGTTACTTAAGATGCAAGTTTAGAACTTTTTTGAAAAGGCGATTTTATTGCGATTTGTTATCTAAAAATTCTTTTTGAAATTTTGTAAAAAATCTATTTTTTACTTTGTTTTGATACCTAAAAATTCAATTTTTTGGAAATTTTATGGAAGATGGCATTTTTTACCCTGGTTCGTTACCTAAAATGTAAATTTTTGAAATTTTTTGAAAATATGCATTTTTTTTACTGTGAGTTGTTACCTAAAAATTTGCTTTATTTAGATTTTTTTTGAAAAATGATCTTTGTTACCTAAAATTTCAATTTTTTAAATTTTAAATTTGTTACCAAAAAATTAACTTTCTTTATTTCAGCCTAACCCTGAAGATCGTACAAAAATTTTGCTGAAATACCTAAGCAACTATCTTCATCATCCTCAAGACACAAAGAAAGTGATAGTATCCGTAAACGGAATCCAAGAATCAGTTCGAATACAGAGCATGCTGGTCCACTACGGCTTTTTGGCCGGTGTTGTTAGTTCGAAGCGAATGCAACCAGAACGAGAGGTAGACATTGACAAGTTCAACAAGGGGACTTACAATGTATTGGTGGTGACGGACGTGATGGCAAGTGGCATCAACCTGGCGGTCGACTGTGTTGTTATGTATGAACTGCCAAAACGGGAGGAGTTTGAGTAGGTTTTGAGATTTGGAAATGTTTTTTTAAATAATTTGGGTTAATTGTGAATTTTTAAAATTTTGAGTTTTTTAAAAAAATTTATAATTTTTTGGGTTTTATTTATTTGTGGGCAAAAAGTAGTTATTATATCTTTATATATTCAACTTCGATGGATAAAACGTAAAAGTTTTGTAAAAAAGTATTACGTTATTGCATAAAAAAAGTCTTGTTGTCAATTTGTGTTGCTTTTCACGTTGATAAACGACAAGACTTTTGCTTTTTTGATATTGGGTTGAGAAGACGAAATGCGACATTTTTAATATCATAAAGCGACATTCTTAATAATCCTTATTTCTAGGAGATCAATGCTAAACAGAACTGGCCGAACCGGACGTCTTGGTCAAAAAGGACGGGTGGTATACCTATACAATGAGAATGAAGATGGATTTTATGCCAACAGAGTAAGAACGGTTGGTTTTTTAAGTTTTATTGTTTTATTGAGGAGAAGGTAGAGATAAGGCATGGTTGAGGGTTTGAAGATATTATACTAGGGAAGGGGAAGGTTAACTGTTTTTTGTCTAAAGTAGTGGAATAGGTTTTTCTTTTTAGATGAGGGCTTTTTCTTTTTCATATTAGTATCTAGTCGTCTTTGTATTGAAGTTATGTTAGTTTAAATCGTGTTTTTTCCTCTCAATTAGCGCTTGTACGATGTTATCTATGGTTATGGGCCTGTTTTGGTCGATAATGACATTTTTTAAAGGTTCAAGCAAATTTAAATATGATTATCTTTAGTATATTACCTATTTTAAGCTGGTCTTAAAAATTTTTTTGCTTAAAAATCACGATTAAACTTAAAAACTTTAAGAAATTGTTGGAAAATCAGTGCCCAGTACCTTCGTTTTTGGACCCAGATGAGAGTATTTGATATAACCTGAAGAATATCTATGGTGATAGGCTTGTATTAATAGTGATAGCTTCATATCGACAGTGATTTTCTAATGTGAATGGTGAAATTTGCTTACGGACGGTGATTGATATATAGATGGTGATAAGCTAACTCTGGTGGCTCTTGTGTGTGTACGGTGGTGAAAACGTGAATACGAGTGTTTCGAATCTACTACGGTTATAAACTTTTACTTTTTTTAATATTTTTAAAAAGCTTTTTTAATTCAAGATTTGATTGTTATATTTTTATGAATTATGAAAGATTATTTGGTTATAATAAAGGATATCGTGCTGAAAATTTCTTTTTAGAACGTGTGATAGTGTGCTGTGTGTTTGTGACATGTGTAACATGTTTTTGGCTTTGGTTTGTCATTTGATTTTGGTGTTTGAGATCATAAAAAGAGGGGAAAATGAGAAAAATTGGACATTTTTGGTTATAAAACATGTCAAAGTTTAAAGTTTTGGGTTTTAAACGAGTAAAACGATATAAAATATGTATTAGAATGTTAAATAGGTAACAAAATTGAATTTACAAGCATTTTTGACCCTATAAAAACATTTTAAACCAACTTTTTTCATCCACATTGACCCGCAAAACGACCAAAAAAGATGTCGATCAGGATGAGATTCGAACTCACGCGGGGAAACCCCAATGGATTAGCAGTCCATCGCCTTAACCACTCGGCCACCTGATCCCTGTGCCCCTCTCGCCAAAACCGAAAGAGAACCCTTTTCCTTTCCGTTTTTTTCGCTCTGACCGTTCGGCGAGAATGTGCGTCCCTTTAATAATGTCAATTCTGAAAAGGATTCATGGTTTGGCGGGAAGATACAAGTCTTTTGTAGAATAACATTGAAATTGAAGTTTAAAAATATTTTGTTCTGAGGAAAATAAACTTTTATTAGGGAAAAAAAGTGAATTCATTGAAAAATGCATAGTTTTGGCTCGGAAATTGGCCAAAAACTTATTTTACTCAGCAATTATGACAAAAAATAGTATGGATTTTGCTCCACAATTGATAAATAAGGTTTTGTAATGCATGAATTATATTTTTATTTTTAAAATATTCTAAAAAAGTGCCTAATTTTGAAAAAATGTATACAGTGCCTAATTTGAAAAATGTATAAAAAGTTATTTTTAGTAACATTTTTTGTTGTTTTGTCTGAAAATACTACAAAACGTATACCTAAAAGACTACAAAACGTATAAAGTTATATTTTAATTACAATAAAATTTATTACAATTTTAAAATTTACACTACAAATGAACCAAATATTGTATTGTACAAGTATAATATTGGCAATTTGAAAATCTAAAAAACAATTGAACTGTACAAGCACAAACTGTATGAATTGAAAAAAAAGTAAATACTGTATAAGTATAATGTGGTCTTTAAAATATCTGTTTTATATCGAAACAGACACATTTATAAATGAAAATGAGAGAAGGGTACGGTAGGACTTGGGTAGGTTTAGTGTTCGAATAGGGTAGGTCCAACTTAATATCTAGAATAAGGCTTTACTGTTTCAGTGTGAAGATTGACTAGGATTAAAATACTAGTGGGGCGGGATAAAAAGTTTTATTTTGAAAATTTGCTTTTGAATACTCGGAAGTCATGTATCATTTCTTATGCTTATAATAAGCTTTCTGGTTTATGGTATTCTTGTTAGTAATAAAAATAAGATAAGCTGATTCGCAGAGTAAGCTACTATTATAAATAGGTATTAGTTGCATTATGGTAACAAAGGTATAGTTTAATATTAGTTATAGTAAATTGTGAGCTAATGATTACTAACTATAATTAGTTATAGATACTGTTTTTGTATTTGTCGTGCTGTTGTTTCTCAATTGAGTTGTATCTTGTGATTTGTCATTAGTTTATTGCTGTTACAGTACTCTGATATTGGCGAGCAGTGCTGAGGGATACCTTTTCTGAAAGACCGGGGGAGGGAATAGTTTGTGGGCAGGGGCGCCGCTACGGATTTTTTTCTGGGGGTGGATCCACCAATTTTTGGCACCGGGCTTTGATATGAGCTTCGGCTTTCGAAACTACATGTACTGGCCCAGCCCTTAAACTGGCCTTTATTTAAACCTGGCCATCGGGCCCTTGGGGCCTTAATTTGAGCATCGGCTCTTGTGCCTATAATTGTTGACCCGGCTTTTTTTAAATTTGCTTTAAACCGGCCTGGGATTGAGCTGGGCCGGGCCTGGTCAGATCTTTTTCATTTCTAGTGAAGAGTATTTTTTTGAAATTAAAAAATCTAAAATTGAAATTAAAGCGAAATATTAAAAGAATGAATTTTATATTATGACATGTTTGTTGTCTTATCCGGTACTGCAGGATACATAGAAAACAGGTGAATGCTAATTATGTTAGATACACATGTGTTTCAAAAAAGTTCACTTATTGGTCTAAAACAAACATAAATTTTGTACCTTTATGTGACACTGTAAAGTATATACTGTAGTAACAGACAATTTATGAAACTTCAAAGCTTTGTTCTTTAATTTTGTCTTTTTCTTAAAATATTAATTACATATTATTGCCCGGTCATGATTTATGTTAGCGAACGATAATTAGAGTTAAATATCACATATACATCGAATAGCCTAATTTTCTTGTCGCAACGTACGAATAGGCTGAAATTAACGAAGATTTAACTGTCACAATACTTGGTATTGTATTATTATATTTATGTCTGTTAGTATTGCAATAGGTAATGAACACCATTATCACTTGTGTCTTACTGAACCCAGTTAAATGTGTAAGACGATCTATGGCGAAAATACGGTTTAGAAATACAGTATACAAAGTTACGATGAATATAGATTATATTAGGGTAGAGTAGGATAAGGTAGGGTAGGGTAGGGTGGGGTTGGGTTGCGTACGGTAGGGTACGGTAGAGCAAAACTGGGTAGGGTAAGATAAGGCAAGCTTGCGAAAGTTTAAGAACCGTGAAGACAGGGGTAAGTTTGAAAATTTTTTAAATGGTTTTTTTCAGATAACCAATGGAAGTATACCTATTTGAGCCTGACTTATATGCAGAATGGTACAATTGCTCACAGCTGTCACAAGAAGAATGGCAACAAGTCGGAGTCAAAAGACCATATTTGGCTATGATTTTGGGCATTCTTGGAGGAGCGTTTTCGGTAGGGAACCGGTTTTTCATATTGTCATTTTAAAATTTTTTAAAAATTTTTTATTTTTTAAAAAGTTTTGGAAAGTGAGGTTGTTAGGCTTATTTGGACTTTTCAAACCTTATTTGGTGATTATTGATGCTTGTTTAAGCCTATTTTGAACTTGTTAATTTTGATAAATCTAAAGCTCCTTTTGGCTTTTGAAACCAAAAATTACATTTTACAGATGTTTTACATGCCATTTGTATTTATAATGACAAAACCAAGGTTCTTTCGTATGTCATGTTATAAGATAATGTTTTGTCTGGGCTTTATCGATGCCTTAACGATCATTATTTCTGTTGGCATCAGTGGATACTTTATGTTTCGCGGTGCAGTATATTGCACCATGCCCAATAGTATGTACTTGGCTGGGGTGGCTGGAGTCGGTAGGTGAAATTTGCAACGTGTTTATGTTGATGTAGGTACTTGTGGTTGTTTTTTGTTTGTTCAGTACTGTGTTGTCGGCTGGTGTTGAGCAGTGTTTTTCTTTGGGTCGTTTGGTCCGTGTTGTAGCAGCTTCTACATACTTGATACGGGTTTATCGTTGATTTCTTCTTTGTTGGTAAAGCTTTTATAGTAATGACTAGTCAAAATCTTCTTTTTTTTCTTTATTTTTTTTTTAAATTTGTTGTTTTAGTAGCTCTCTATAACCTACAAACCCTAACTTTCAGCCTCATGGTGTGGCAGTTGCTTATTATGTGCGATCCTAGCCCTAAACCGATGTCTAGATCTATATTCTCCACATACTCACGAGCTCTTATTTGATGGCAACCGAACATGGTTTTGGATAGGATTGTCAATCCTATACATGGCTTTAGTATCTTGGTTTGAATCACCAATATTTTATCATAGTAGATATGCAGCCGGCTTTTATGACCCGTTTATTGGTGCTCCAGTTGAAAAACGACACAAATTTGTAAATTATACTCATGTTATCAACAACGTACTGGTTATAGTGGTCATGTCAGTGTTATACACGGTTTTATGTGTATATGTGCTGAAGAGAAGGACTAGGCTTAACAGGACTAAGAAGAATGTAGGTTTTGATTATGATAAGACAAGTTTTGAAATTGAAGAATGATATTGATATCGGATATAAAATGGCTTCAAAATTAAAAAGTGTCATTGAAATTAGATGAAAACTTATTTTAAAATAAAAAAAAGTTTTAGTTCATAATTCAAACAATACTAGTATGCGCACCATTCACCATAGCATCAGGAATCTATGATTATATGCAGTTTTTTGAGTCGGCAGAGCTGTTGTCAATGATAGGGCACGCTTTTTATGTGATAACTGGTGGATCAGCTGGTGTAGTTTATTGGCTCTTCAATAAAAATTTGCGAATTGAACTAATGAGAACGATATTCAGAATAAGATGCTTCAAATCATACAAAGTTTATGTCAGCTCACAGTGTTCTTTTACTGTTCCTAGGAACAGTGCGACGCAATAAATATTATGAATACTGTTGCGTTGCTTTTTTACTCTTTATGCTGTTGTAGTTGATAGGTACTTAGAAGGTTACGACAGTTTGAATACAGTATTAGTACGATTGAAAATGATTTTTTTATTTGAATGATCTTGATGTAGCTGGACCTGAAAGAGGATTCACTACGCCCGGCCTCCTGATTTGGATGGATTTACTATTAGTCGTCCTTACAATAATCAAAAACTTAGGTCTACTTTGAGTCGGAAAGGATAGGGCAAGGTACGGTATGATACAGTAACTTGAATACATGTGCTTTACAGCTCTATTCTGGGCTCTCTATCTTTACCCCAGTTTTACGCTATTCTTATTTTATTTTAGCTACGTTTGCTACTATAAGTACTACACTTTGAATTTTTGCAAAAGTTTAATCACCAGTTCATGTTTGTGCCACTCTTTGTAATCTAATATAGATACATCTGCGAAACCGTTCAAGTTAGCATAACAAAGTTAATACCAGATGTGTGGTATGTAAATACACATAACACGGTAAACTTCCTATTATGAATTGTTTTTTCTTTTCTAATTTTAACTTTGTGTTGTTTGAAATAAAAACAAAACAGGTGGGTTAGGAGTTGTAGCAAGAAGGTTAGCATAGTGAATACAGTCAATAAGTTTTGGGTTTTTATCAGGTATTTTAGCTAATTTATTTCACTATAGATATAGATTTACGAGGTACATTATTAAATTAAAATATTTTTTTTGGATTTACCCTTATTCACTCCACTCCTAACTACGTTTTTGAGCTGTATTACTTTAATGTGGGGCTTAATAGTAGCGATGTTATTTTAATATAGAGCTTTGTAATAGCTACATTGTCTTAATATAGAGCTATATAGTAGCCATATTTTCTTAATGTGGATATTTGTAGTAGCCACGTTATCTTAACGCAACAGTACAATATGTAGAAACTACATTATGTATAATAAATGTGACATTATTTGTAGTAGCTACATTATTTATCGTCTTGTGTTGTTTAAAACAACGTGATATCTTTAAAGTTACATTCTTGAAAACAAATTGTAGGTAGCAAAGTTCTGGTCAGTTGTTGAAGGTTTAATTGGTGTTCTTGGCTTTAAAACTTGTCTGCTATATAAATCTTCACATTAGTATTACAACTATCATTAGTGCTATCTTTTAGTAGCTTTGTGTAAGTGGTATTAACACGACTGTTACTTATTTTGTCAGGCTTATCTTTGTTGACATTGCTTTGTAACTTGGCATAAGGCAGAATTTGTTGTTCTAGTTTGTCCTTTGTAATATTTTGGGTCATTACTCTTGAAACAACGGTATGGAAGTATATCTATTTGAGCCTGATTTATATGCAGAATGGTACAATTGCTCACAGTTGACACAAGAAGAATGGCAACAAGTTGGAGTTAAAAGACCATATTTGGCAATTGTTTTGGGCATTTTTGGTGGAGCGTTTTCGGTGGGTTATTTTGCTTGCAAGTGGGTTTCAGGGTTAGGTTTATGGATATTTTAATCTCAAAATGAAAATAAAATTGAGGCTTTGTTTTTCTAATCTTGTCATAACCTTTTTTGGACTTTATGATGTTTTTGGACTTTTTTAATTTCGTGATTGATTCTCTCTAACTTTACATGGCGTTTCCTTGATTAACATAGTCTTTTCTAACTATTATAGTAAGCCTTATTTCAGGATAATTCTTTTTAAACCTAGGATATAACTTAACTCTGCACTATCTTCTTTTTTCTTTACACATATTGTGCTATAGTCCTGCTTTAGGTTTACACTAACTTGATAAACTTGATCTTTGTTATATTTTAGCCCTATTTGAGGGTCGTATTAGCTTGATCTTTGCCTTGTTTTAGCTCTTTCTTTGTCCAATATTAATCTTCTAGGCTACTGTTTACTCTAATTTAGTTTTTTACTTATCCTTACAATTTGTAATTCCTGAATCTATTAAACTCCAAAATGAAAAATTTTTAATTTTTAGATATTTTACATGCCATTTGTTTTCATAATGACCAAGGAAAGGTTTATGCGGTTGTCATGTTATAAAATAATGTTTTGTCTTGGTTTTATCGATGCTCTGACAATAATAATTGCTGTTGGAATGTGTGGCTACGTTTCTTTTTACGGTGGAGTGTATTGTACTATGCCGAATACGATCTACTTTGTTGGGGTGGCTGGGGTTTGTAAGTCCATTCTTTGTTGTTATTGTTATATGAAGATTAGCTGTTGGTTTTTCGGCTTGTTTTTTACTTTTAATAATGTGCTGAAAAGTACGTAGCTGCTTGGGATGGGAACAGTGTGAAGTGAATGTGTGGAGCTTGTGTTCGTTGTATGTTGACGTTGTGGTTGCTATCTTCTTTGGTAAAACATTTATTATTACTGCTTATTATAATGTTACATTTTGCTTTCTTTTACTTCAAATTTTATGTTATAGTACCCCTCTATAACCTACAATACTTAAGTTTTAGCCTCATGGTGTGGCAGTTGCTTATTATGTGCTATCCTAGCGCTAAACCGATGTCTAGATCTATATTCTTCACATATTCACGAGCTCTTATTTGATGGCAATCGTACATGGTTTTGGGTTGGACTAACAGCGCTATATATGGTACTAATAGCTTGGTTTGAAACGCCAATATTTTATCATAGTAGATATGCTGCTGGCTTTTATGACCCGTTTATTGGAGCTCCGGTTCAAAAACGACACAAATTTGTTAACTATACTCATGTTATCAATAATGTGTTGGTTATAGTCGTCATGGCAGTATTATACACGGTTTTATGTATATATGTACTGAGGAGAAGGACTAGTCTCAACAAAACTAAAAAGAATGTAGGTTTTGGTTTTGATAGTACAAAGTTTTTGAAATTGAAAAATATACTGATATCAGATAGTTGAAATAAAAAAACTTTTAGTTCATAATCCAAACAATACTAGTATGTGCACCATTCACTATAGCATCAGGTATCTATGATTATATGCAGTTTTTCTCCTCACCCGAGTGGGTATCCATGGTAGGGCACGCTTTTTACGTGATAACTGGTGGCTCAGCTGGTGTAGTTTATTGGCTCTTTAATAAAAATTTGCGACATGAATTGCTTCGCACTCTGTTTAACATAAGATGCTTAAAATCATACAAGATTCACGTCAGCTCACAGTTTTCATTTACATTGCCCCAGAACAGTGCTGCAAGACGATCGTTGTCACATAATTGATAAGGTTTTTGGACCATGAGTTAGTAAAATAAAGGAAGTATAGTACAATAAATGGAATGTAAAATACGTCACAGCGGATGATGTGGGAGCTATTATATTTAAAAATTAAAAATAAATGGAAAAAGGTGATTGAAGGGCGGGGTCATTTTGGTTTTTTGTGTGTGGAGGTGAAAGTAAAAAAGTTAACTGGAGGGCGAGGTAATTTTTTAAGTTTTTTTTGCGTGCGAAGGCTAAGCCAAAAAAGTTTCTTGAATGGCGGGTAGTTTTGGGTTTTTTATATTTGTTAAGATGGATTTTTGAATGCATGGTAACTATTTCGAAATTTGTAGGATACATTTTTGAAGGCGGGTTTACTACTTTTTTTGTTATACGGACTTTAACGGCAGAGGAGGGCAACTTTTACTTTTTTTACTACTGTAAATTTTGCTTGCAAATCCTATTTTTATAACACTTGGCGACACTTACTAAAATGCTACTTTAAAAGAGCATGATAGCTAGTAAAACGTATAGGAAGTCCAAATTAAATAAGATATTCATATATTATAAAAAAGATAGGAAGTTCAACTACGGAACTATACGAAAAACAAAAAGTATGTTATATAATTTAATTTGGAAACAAAAATAACTTTACCATGGTATATTTTCCTGGCTATAAATTGTTATTCAACTCGTAAATATTATAATTATTATAATTTATTAAAAAAGTTGATACATTAACTTGTGTCTATGAAAGAGAACCTTTATTTGACCGCAGTTGTATAGCGTGGTATCCAACAATTAACTATGAAACTTTTTATACAAACAAAAATTGGACTTAGTTTTGAATGGTAGAGAGGTAGTATAGCAAAAATTTGGCTAAATTTGAGAGCGGTTTTAAGAGGCTTGAAAAGGGTCTAAAAAGGCCTTAGGGCTCAACTTTGGTACTATAACGAAAGATATGGGGTTTGCGATGGCTGAATCCACCAAGCGTTCATGTCCTTCTTTCTCTTTCCTCCATTTCCTTTAGCGAAATCCGTGTTTGAAACTAAACTTTTGAGAAATTTTTGAGAAAAATTTGGTTCTTCTTATTAAATATGATTCAATGAAACTGCACAAGCTAATCTTACATGTTAGCCGTCTTCTGAGTACTGAATAAAGAACTTATAATTAAATAGTTAACCGATTTTACAATTGTTATAAGTTTGTAAGGTATGCGCAATTGAAACTTTTAATTATATAGTCTTTACAAGTTTCAAAATACCTTCATTTCATACGTTATACGTATGTATGCTTATTATAAGTTCCAAAACATGTATGTTTATGTACGTTCTTCTTTTTTTCAACACCTCTAAAATTTAGTTTGTTTCGTACATGTTTGAGATATTATTGTAGTGTACAGTTAATGTGACCAGAAGTGTAGTAAAAACAAAAAGAAAATGGATTTTTGTAGCGAAAAAACGGATTTTTGTAGTGAAAACAATAAATATAAAGAGATATTGTAGTAGATGTGTGTTGCTTGTTTTCTTTTTTTATTGAAGAAACGTTCATAATAATGTAGGCTTAATACCCAAAATTGTTTTGTTACGTACAGTAAAACAAAAAGAAATTAAACTTTCGGCGTACGGAGCACTAAGGGCTTAAGCAGCAGTAAAAAATCGAATTTTTGTGTTTATTGTAATTAATATTAACGAGTAGTTTTTATTTATAAAATCTACTGTGTAGTGATAAATAATAGCTTGGATTTCAACTTGTTATACGGAGATTGTGTTATATTAGAGCAGAGTTCGTTATACAGGAGTTCGTTTTACTGTAGGTTTTTTTGGAGTTTGTTTTTCAAAATGAAAAGGGTTATAAAGAGGTAGCTATGGGGGCCAATTTAAAACAAGAAATTTTGAAATCAACAGAGGACCATGTTTGAAATTTAAATTTTAGGGAGGGAGTGGATGTTTTCATACTTTTCTTCAGTAAGAATCTCATTTGATAGCTGAAAAAATTGTGGGGTGAATGATTCTAAACACCTCTTCTTCTTCCTAGCTTTCCAGGGATGTCGCTACAGATTTTTTTCTAGAAGTGAATTTGAAGAGGGGGGTGGGGAGAATCAGGGGGAGGGGAGTCCAATTTTTTTTGGGCTACTCTTGCTGTGGACTGTTTTTTCAAATTAAAAAAAATTTCACGTACAGTTTTTTTTGGATTGTGTCTTAGGTTGGATCCAGCTCCTTCTATCCCTTCTTCAACCCTCCTCTTCTACTTCAGTGCCGACTCTAACCCTTGTTGTATCACAATATATTCTACTGTAATACAAAAAAATCTATTTTAAAAAATGTTACTGACAATCGAAACCGTATTTATAATTGCATGTTGAAACCCACAGTTTAACGTTTACATGTTTTGTGGTATATAAAAAAGTTTTGAAATTACTATTTTTGAGTTTTCTATTCAGAACGAAACAGGTGGGCTTTGAGACCAGTTTTTGGTTTCAGTATTAATAATATAGCAACGTAAATGCCAAATTACAGAGTTTGGAACATTAAAATTCAAGTTGTAGTTATGCATTTAAGTTTTAAGCCACACAGCGTGTATAACAAGTAACTTTTAAGATCAAAAATTTTGTATTTGAATTAGATGGATAGTTCAGACTAAAAAGAAGTGTTACCGACAATTTTTTTTCAAAAGTGCTATTTGAGTACGTTCTTTGAGGTAATGATCCTAACTATAAAAATATAATTTGTTGTATTTTATGAAGTAAAAAACATAAAATTTGTGTTGGGTGTACGAATCATTGTTGGGTATTTAAGCTTTTGTTGTGTGTAAGAGTACCCCTGAAAGAAGGCCTACTAGGCCTGGTCCGGGCTATTGAAAATTTGAAAGAGGCTAAGTTGAAAAGGTGGGTCTGTCCTCTTTACAGCTTTAATGTAAGAGATTAGGGTAATGATTGTACCATTTTGGGTTAGTAAGTAGACCTGTAAAGGGGCCGGTCTAGGGTTAGTAGGCCTTCTTTTGGTCTATTAGTAAATAATAAAGGTCTAGGCTAACACAACTCATGCGGAATAATTGGGAAAAGGAGGGGGACAAGTATAAGTATGAGGATTAGTTTAAGTTTAATTAGGACGTGTCCTATTGGTTTCAGTGACGCCTGTGTATCTTGTTGTTTACATATCATAATAATAGGGGTGTATTTTGTGTCGGGCGGTAGGTCTGAAACGAGGTTTACTAGGCCACAGCTACAGTCCAGTTTCGGGCCAGGCCAAAATAATTTTGAAAGGGGTTGGAATGGCAAGTGTGGGTCAGCGGGCCAAAAGCGTGTATTGATATTTATACAAGGAGTTGGGTTGAGGTAAAGTCAATTTGAAAGAGGTCGGTTGGGTACATGCGGGCGTGAGGAGTTTGGGCAATGAATATATGTAAAGGATCGGGCCGGGTCTAATCAAAATTGAAAGGGGCCTTGTTGACACATGTGGGCCCAGGGGTCGAGGCCGGGTAATGAATTTACATAAGAGTCCAGCGCAGGTCAAAGCAAATTTGAAAGGCCGGGTCGACACATGTTTGCACCAGGGCCGGGCTTGGTCTAACTGTAAGAAGAGATCAGAGTGGCTTTAAAGTTGTGCTTGACTCTCAAAGATCAATGGTATCTTTCGGCTTCTTTTTCATGTGCGGTCTGTTTTTTAGGTGGGGATTGGGGGTGGGGTATGTTTTGAGAAACGTTTTTTTTATTATGATAGTAAAATTTTTTTTAAATTTTAAATTTTAAAATGTTCATTTTCAGCTTCTCAATGGAAGTCTACATATTCAAGCCTGAATTTTATGCAGAATGGTACAATTGTTCACAGTTGACACAAGAAGAATGGCATCTAATCGGAGTACGAAGACCATATTCGGCTATCATTTTGGGAATTCTTGGAGGAGCTTTTTCGGTGGGTAACCAAGTTTTTAGTTGATTGAAAGGGGGAGGTATGGCAGTTTTTTAATTGTTGTGTTTTGGGGTAGATAACTTTGTTTGAAAAAAATTAGAAAAGGTGTGGTATAGTGAGGTATATACTATATTATGATATATGTTATGATAGATAAAGGCTTGGTTTGAAAGGTTAAAGGGTGTCATTTACTTTTTGAAAATGATATGAATGACACATATGATAAGGGTAATTTTTTAAAATGTGGGCGTTACGGGGGTGGATAGTTAAAATTTTTGGAGAAAAATCCAACTATGTTCAAAATTGACATTTATAATCGATGTCAAGTGAAAATACACACCTAAAAATGAAAAATTTTGAGCAAAAACATAAGAAATATGATAAAAATGAAAAAAAAATTTTAATTTTTATAAAAAATTGTAGATAATGTACATCCCATTTGTATTCATAATGACAAAGCCAAAGTTTATGCGCTTATCATGCTATAAAATTATGTTTTGTCTCGGTTTCATCGATGCTGGCACTATATTTATTGCTGTGGGGATATGTGGTTACTTTACCTATAATGGAGGCGTATATTGCACCATGCCAAATAGTATATACTTGGTTGGGGTGGCTGGAATGTGTAAGTGGATTTGGTGTTTCTTCTTTATGTTGTTGTAGATTGATATTGAGTTGTATGTTGAGGATTTTGGCGTTTACTGAGATTTACGGTTTATTGGAGTGTTATAAAAGTCTTGTCGTAATTTTGCACTGACTTGCAAGGAAAAATACGACAAGACTTTTTGAATGTTGTAAGGTTATAGAATGGTAATGTAAAGTGTTATGTGGATATTATATTGTATGTCGGTTTTGTGGTTGATATATTGTTTCTTGGTAAAACCTTTATTGGTACTAATGGTACCGTTGTGCTTTTTTACTTATAATTTGATGCTGTTGTAAACTCTATATCATTTATACTGCTCTGTGGTTACTAACTTCTTTTTTGTTGAAAACTCGCTTAGTACCACTTACGCTAATGGTACCCCTTGCTTTCTTTCATTTCAAATTTGATGTTATAGTAGCCCTCTATAACCTAAAAACCCTAAGTTTTAGCCTCATGGTGTGGCAGTTGCCTATTATGTGCGATCCTAGCTCTAAACAGATGTCTAGATTTATGTTCTCCATCGTATCACGAGCTATTGTTTGATGGTATTCGTACATGGTACTGGATAGGATTAACAGCACTATATATGGTACTAATAGCTTGGTTTGAAACCCCGATATTATATCACAGTAGATATGCTGCTGGGTTTTATGACCCATTTGTTGGCGCTCCAGTGGAAAAGCATAATTTATTTATAAACTATACTCATGTTTTTAATAACGTACTGGTTATTATAATCATGTCCGTGCTTTATGCCATTTTATGTGTATATGTGCTGAAGGAAGGGTCGAAAATGAGCAAAACGAAGAAGAATGTAGGTGTATTTATTTTGTTTGGCTGATTTTTAATTTCTGAGTTAAAAAGAAAGTGTTGATGCCTCTGGGTGGGCTAGTACTGTGTAAAAAAGTATTGTTGTTTTTTTTATTAGAAATATAATGGAAATCAATGACAAGACTTCTTAGAGTTTCATTTTGTAAAATACGAATAACTGTCTTGTGTTTCCCCCTGTTGATTATTCAAAACTTTTTTTTTAGTTTTTCTAAAAGCTGTGGATTTTTTTAAAAAATTGTTGGTTGTTTAAAATAAAGTTAGGCTTGCTTAGGGCTTGGAGCAAAAAAAACATTTTTTGTTTTTTGATTTTTCTTAAAAAAATTTTATTGTGAAGATCATATTTGGATTTTGAAATAGCTCTAGCTTTATATGCATCTCTGTTTTTTTACTTGTGCTGTTACGGCGCTAGGACAAATGCGGTTTTTAGACACTTGCGGATTTTGGACATTTGCGGATTTTTTAAAGGGTTTTCTTTTATTTTGAATTAATTTAGTTGTAGTATGGTACTAAACTTTAAATTAGAACTGTTTTAATATTTTTTGGTGCTCAATAGTACTAAATTTTAAATTGGTACTGTTTTGTATTTTTTGGTACTAAATAGTACTAAAAGCCCAAAATGGTACTGCTATGTTAAAAACGTACCAATTTAAACTTTAGTACTACAACTAAATTAACTGAATAATAAAAAAAAACCTTTAAAAAATCCGCAAATGTCCAGAATCCGCATTTTTCCTAGCGCCGTTGTTACACTAGCGTTTGTTCAGTCCTAGTTAGAACGGCATAGAGGCCGGGTCAAGTTTTACCGCAAGTCAAACCTTTCGTTGCAGGACCTAAGCTGGTCTCATGGAGACTTGATTCCGGCCCGGCCTTTGGATTTGCGTGATTCGGCATGGTCTTTTCCCGTTTTTTTATTTTGGACCAAAAGCTGGGCCTAATGGAATCTTATAAGGTTTAGTCTTAGTCTTAAACTAGCTAAAGTTGTGAGGTTGAAAGCAGGAAAAGATTTTTTCCAGGTTTTTAGTTGATTGCTCTGGTATATGACATTATTTTTGTATGTAACATTTGTCTTATATTAGATTTTCTTTGTATATGTATGCTGCTTTTAGTTTGTCATACAAACAATATTGGTTTGTGCTCCATTTACTATAGCCTCTGGGATTTATGACTATATGCAGGTAAATTATCTTTTCTCTGAAATGATTTTTGAATTTTTTTTTCATCACCAACGGCACTTCATCGTATTTTACAACGAGATTTAATAGGCTTTGAAAAATGAAGTTTTTAGTTCTTCCCAGCACCATCTTGGGTACCAATGGTTGGTCATGCGTTTTATATTGTAACTGGTGGATCGGCAGGTGTAGTATATTGGTTATTCAACAAAAATTTGCGCACAGAGTTGCTTTATTCCTTGTCGAAGCGGAATTGGTTTGGCATGAATAAGATCTTTGGCAGTTCACTCATTCCATCGCTGAGTGCTCCTCATTCTTCCTCTGGCAATAAATAGGCACAATTTTGATGTAATATTACGTGAAATACAGTGAAACTCGTGTAGTACGAACTACGGAGTAACGAAAATCCTTTATAAGGACCTATATTGGAATCTCCGAGCGAAATTATACAGGAGCTCTGGTGTAGTTAAAATATTGATTGAAAGATTTGGAATAAAGCCATACTAACGAAACAAACGGACTTGAAGTATATTGTCTAAACTGAAAGTTAAAGTAGTTTTTCCTGGCTATGTTTTGTTAATTGTAATGGTAATTGATAATTTTAAAATTTTACCAATTTCTATCTATTCTTTTTTTGATGCGGTCTGGTATAGGCTTTTGGACTGGATTAGGTTTTTTTTTATTGGCTTGGGTTGCATTGCGTTTTTTGGACTGGGTCGGGTTTTTAGACTAAGCTAACAAAATGTATGGGTTTTCGCCTAGGTTTTTTTGGCTGGTTTAGTTTCTTTGGGCTGCATCAAGTTCTTTGGACTAGATTAGGTTCTTTGGCATAGATCAGGTTCTTGTAACATTGTAACGCCTAGGTTTTTTGGACTGGATTAAACTCATTAAACTAGCTTAGTTTTTTTGGACTGGGTTAGTTTCTTTGGTTTATATCATGTTTTTCGGACTGGATTAGTTTCTTCGAACTGGACCTCTAAATTGTAGTTTCTGAGTTTGTGGCATTTGTTACAGCTAAATTTGTTTACTTTCTTAATTGTCTTGTTTATTTGTTTAAAATTTGCAGTTTTTCTAAAAGTTACTCGACAAAACGGCGGAACTGAAAACGTTTTTGAAAAAACATGACAATAAGAATATTGTATTTGCAATTTACATTTACCAAAACACTTGGTAGTATTGTAGGTTGTGATACCTATAAAATGCTCATTTTTGCTTGCAGACAGTTGTAATCTTTGGATGTGTAGGCATTGTAAAGCTGTTTTTATGGTTTTGATCTTTTGCTACTAAGCTACAGTAAGTTTCTAGATTACGGTAGTAGAGTAGTCTACGATACTGAATTAAACTAACTTTTTTATTTGCTTTGAAAGATATTGAAAACACTTACTTACAGTAAGGTATAATTTACTGTAAGCATACTGTAACTAAAGGAAGCATACTGTAACGGAAGCATATTATAACGAAATTTGATTTCTAATGGAAGTATACCTATTTGAACCAGGTTTGTACGCTGAATGGTACAATTGCTCACAGTTGACGCAAGCGAAATGGCTTAAAGTTCGCACGAGACGGCCATATTTGGCTTTTATTCTTGGCATTATTGGCGCTATTTTTTCGGTAATTGGAAGTTTTTAAATTTGGAACAGTGGAAAATTGGTCGATTTTTAAAATTTCAAGAAAATTAATTTTTTTTCAATATTTTTTTTTTGAAATTTAATTTTTTTAAATTTTTAAATAAAAATTTAAACTTCCGGCGTCTATTTGAACAAAAAAATTCAAATTTTAGTTACTGTACATGCCGTTTGTAGTAATTATGACAAAACCAAAGTTTATTCGTATGTCATTTTATAAGATTATGTTTTGTCTTGGTTTCATCGATGCTTCAACAATTATTCTTGCTGGCGGATTTTGTGGATGGTATGCTTATCATGGAGCTGTATATTGCACTATGCCTAATAGTATCTACTTGGTTGGGGTGGCTGGAATGGGTAAGTTAATCTTTGGTTTATCTTGTATCTTTTGTTTATTGTGGCGCGTTTTTTTTGGTAGTAGTCAGTATAAAGATGATTACATATATGGTAGTATGAAAGAAGATAAGATACTAACCGTTGCATTTTTGGTTCATAATGATGACTTTAGTCAAGTTAAACCTTAAAATAACTATAAAAAGTAAGTTTTCTATGTTACTTTTAGCTTCATGGTGTGGCAGCTGCCTACTATGCGTAATATTAGCCTACAACCGATGCCTAGGTCTATATTCTCCACAGATTAACGATCTTTTATTCAAAGGCAGCCGTACATGGCTCTGGATAGGCTTATCAATAATATACATGGCTTTAGTAGCTTGGTATGAAACACCCTTACTTTACCATAGTCACTATGCAGCTGCTTTTTATGATCCATATTTTGGAGCACCGATAGTAAAGAAACATAAGTTTATAAACTATACTCATGTTGTCAACAACATACTGGTGATTTTGATAATGATGTTTTTGTATGTGGTACTAAGTGTTTATATACTGAAGGGGTGGATGAGCAAAACGAAGCGAAATGTGGGTTTTTGATGGTTTATATGGCTTGTATCCTGGAACTGTTGATTTTTGAAGTTTTTTTAAAATAGTTTTTTATTTGTAAAGGGAAAGTACTCGGCCTGCTTCGCTTAGAATCAGCTCAACTTTTTTCTATAAATTTCTTTTACCACTAGTAGCACTCATAAAAAATTTTAGCTCTTGTTTTTGAGTTTTAATTTTGAAATATTTGAGTTCCCCGCCATTTTGGCAAATTTGGCATTGTGTTTCAACCAATTTTTTTTACGTTTCAGGCAAACTAAGCTTACAATTTAAAAAAATGTACGTCTATTTAAAGGGTGTCTATTCGTACAGCAAGAAAAATGATTCAGAGTCAGCAAATGACAAAGTGATAAGCTTGAAACACAATGCCCATTTGGCGGGAAATTCAAATCGTAATTTTTTGATCCCGATTTTTTGAGATTTCTTGGAAAGCGCGTTTATTAATTTCTGAAGATCTTATATTTACACGGTATTTCTATATAAAAAGTTTGAAGTCAATCAGAGCGGGGCAGGTCTGGTACTTTCCCTGTTAGTTTCACTTTCTCGCATTAAACTTAAAAAAAAATTTTTTTACTGGTTCTAATCGTACCATCAAACACTTGTAAATTGATTAATGTATTGGGGATCGCTTATTTTTTTCAATTTTTAGTTTGTAAAACAAACCATACTGGTATGTGCTCCATTTACTATGGCTGCAGCCATTTATGACTTTATGCAGGTAAGTTTTTTTCTTTGGTTTTTTAGGTACATTTGCTATAATAATATTAAAATATCATCAAAAGGACTAGTCACTTTTGAGCCGACTACTTTTTAGTTCTTCCCAGCACATGACTGGGTACCAATGCTTGGAAACGCATTTTATATTGTAACTGGTGGATCAGCAGGCGTAGTTTATTGGTTATATAACAAAAGTCTTCGTCGTGAACTACTGGACTACTTTAAATTTATAAAAAGGTTTAGAAAGAGAAGTATATTTGGAAAACTGCATTTATCATCTGTTTCTCAAAAGCATACAGATATTGTTGCTGCTTCTGGTGGAACTGTTGGTTAATATATTTATATAAACAGTATATTTGTACATATAAAGGATGTTGATGTTTTTTTCAAGTATAATATACAGTAAAACTCTCGTATATCTAAACATTTTTCAAACTCTGTAAAATTCGTTATACAAGTTTTCTACTGTAGTATAGTAACACTTCAGAGTTAAATAAAAGTACATCTGCTCAAGAAAGTCACAAACAAAACCTAAAAGAATTCTATGTAATAAATAT